TATATATATATATATATTTATATATATATAGTTGTAACTTAACTGTAAAATTGTACTTTCTGCACATCATGCATGAAATTTAGCTGTAGCTTAACTGCTAGATCTGAAAGTCTGCTGCAAGATACAGGCTTTACATTTATAAGTTGTCTACTTGTTTAGAAAATAAGAAACTGCAAAATAATTCTTACTTGTATGTTTTAGCTATTGAAAATCCAAATTACAAATATTACCTATATTATACATAAATTGACTGAAATATTGCAAAGAAAAACTATCCTAGTTTCCTCAATACTATGTGCACACATTCAATTTAATCAAATTATTTTGTGGTTTTCAAAAAATTCCTTTCAAAAATCATGTCATTATACTGTTATAAGCTGCATTTTCAGTGTTTTAATTTAGATATTTCATAGAAGGCATTACGATTGAGAGACTTCAACTAATATCTAGACATGGGTTCGTTAGTTATAAATATAAGTTAAAAAGTTAGTTTGGAGATAAGGTAAGGAAGTATTAATTTGAGAAACGAGCTTAAATTCTAAAATATTCAGTATTAAGCAGTGAGTTATTAATTCTGTCATTCAGTTAGTAATGTGTTTGTCAATCAATAAAAACTAAGTTAGGTATACTTACTATAGTCTCAGAATTTCTATTGAAAGTGAAAATATTTTTGAACATGGGTCTACAACTGTGTACAAGTGAAAGCAGCCTGTAGCAAATGTTAAGGAACAAATACACTATTAACTATAAACTATGAAATCATTAAGTGGACTTATTTTTACTAAATAATTCATAAGAATCAACCCAATGAGGAAAATGTCAAAAGAAATAAAGAAATATACAACACTATAATTTTTTTTACAATGTACACATTTCATATTTCATTATATCCCACTCCTTGAAATCAAATACGTTATTGTTGGTGTAAACATAAAAAACATAAGATGTTTTATATTATATTAAATTCCTTATTATTGGTTTTATCTTTTATCATTAATGAGTTAGTTTCATACCTATGTACCATGTACACTTTGTTTCTTATTGAGCTTTGCATTTATGAAAAAGCAAATGTCAACTGATAATGTGAAATTCACTAAAATGTTGCAAAGAAAAAAGATCCTAGTTTCCTTAATACTATGTGCATACATTCAATTTAATCAAATTATTTTGTGGTTTTCAAAAAATTCCTTTCAATATGACTGTTCTATATCTTATTACTATTTACTCTACTTGTCCAATAATTTTCTTTATACTGTGCCAATGTTGGTAATGTTACTAGTGTCATCATACCCAACCCTGCTATGCTCTGCCCACTTGTGTAGATTACAAGCAGTAGAAACAAATAATTAATTATATAAAATGATGATGTATATAAAAGGTTTATAAGTAAGAATTAATATTCAAGTTATTCAATTTTAATATAATGGAATAACTTCTAACATAAAAGATATTAATTATCAAATTGTAGGATCTCAGAACCATACTTGTGTAATGTAGGCACAGTATGTTAATATAACAGTAAATTGACAAATAATGATTTATAAATATAATGAAGTAGTTTTATTTTGGGAAACATGCTACATGTTTTGACACAGCTATGGTCTGGCTGTCTTCTCCATGTTTGTTAATTTACTATATCAGAACCAGTTCATTGTTTGCCTGGTTGGATGGTTATATTAAATTAAAACTTGTTTAAACACAAAGTGACTGCCCATAGCACTTCACTGACAGATTGTTTGGAGTTCTTAAATTAACACCTTTTAATAATCAATAAGAACATTGTTACAGATCAGGAAGTTTAATCACTTTCAGGCTGAGTAAAGTGGTTAAAAAAAAGTGAACCAGATTACACCAATGTGCTGGAAATAAACATGTAAGAATCTGGTGAAATTACATTTTAATAGTTTTATGCAATGCTAATGCTAGAATATGAAAACTGAAAATGTACATCAATTAACTTTCAAAATTTCAAAAACAAATTTTTAGAACAAAAAACTTTTACCTCTGATATTCATATCCTTGTAGAGTTAATGAACACAATACAGAACTTAAATGATCAAAGTATTAGGTACTCAAGAGTCTCTTGTGGTTGGTAAACATATGTGATAATCAAACTTCCTCATGAACTTCTGTGTTCACCTGAGCCATAAGACTGGGTTCCAGTACATCCAGACAGATGTCATACTGCTGGTCTAGCCCCAAATAACAGTCACTAAGTATAAAGATTGTGTAGATCACCCTGCCAGGAGATTCAGGAGTGTAGAACATAAGCTGTAGGGAATCAACAATTATCTGTTAATCAATGTATAATGAGAACATCATGAACAATGGGAAAGCTAAGAAACATGGCAGCTTTAGCCACACTACACTTCAACAACCTGAAAGAAGAAGCATTGTAGATATAGTGAAACAGCATTTCAAATACCTATAAGAAGAAACACAGTAGCTTTAGCCATACAACATTTCAACTAGCTGAAAGAAGAAACATGGTACCTTTATGTTAGATATATATGAATGTTTCATTTAAATTGAATACCAGAATTACCATTTAGATAGTTATAAAGCACAAGTGTTAAATTTAGTATTTTTAGAAGTGATAAATTATCACAGGTTTGCTTACGTAATTGTTGACAAATCACTTGTTGCGAACTGACATCATGTTACTCAAACCTTGTGAATTTTTCTCGTTGCTTTAATTGAGTATTGTTAAATCATAATGTCTCTTAGTTTCTAGAAAGTTCTAGGCCTCAGTCAGGCAGTACATATATATTAGTGTATAGCTCACCAAAAATGGTAGGGCAAGTACAACCACCTCCACCCCATAGTATACCCTATCCTCACCTTTCATAGCTAACAGAAAGAAATGAATTTTTCGAAATTAAACTTGATCAACAAAAAGGCAGAAAAGTGCAGTCAAGGCAGTCAAACATCAGGTAACTTCCTTTGTGAGCCAATCAAAATTAATATCATTCATGAAATGAATTGGCAGTGTATTCATAGAATAATTATTGGTAAAAATCAGTTAGATTAACAACTTCTAATGTATAGAAAAGCCATTTTGGTAACACTATGTTCCTACATTGCCTTTTATGTCATGTTGCTTAGCAATAAAAGTATAACCTAATATTGTTCATGATGTCAGAAAAACATGTAGGTTCAATAAGTCTTGATACTAAATGATAAAAACCCTATAACCCGAGGACTTTCAAAAGATGGACCACTCTCCTTCAGGGGCAAACTGAGAACCTAATAATGTTGTTAGTCTGTGTACTGAAAGTATAAAATGAAATGTATAGACAACAAAACTGGGAAAATATTTGTTATTTCTTAATTTAGAGTCTCCTATGATTAAAGAGGTTTGTTTTTATTTAAAAAGTTGGTGATATAACAGAAAGTCGCTTAATCCAAAAACAATTTAAGTTCAAAATTTTGATTGGCTCACAAAGGAATTCACCGATGTTTGACTGCCTCGACTGCACTTTTTCTGCCTCTTTGTTGGTATAGCTTAATTTTGCAAAATTTATTTATTTAAAAAACAACAACTATAATATCCCATAATAGTTAAAACCACTCTATAACATCCCATAATAGTTAAAAACCCCAATAACATCCTATAATAGTTAAAAAAATAACCATAACATCCCATAATGGTTAAAAAAAACACTATAACACTCCATAATAGTTAAAACCCTCAGTAGCATCCTATATTAGTCTAAAAAACACTAACATCCCATAATGTTTAAAAAATCAGTATAACATCCTATATTAGTTTTAAAAAAACTATAACATCACATAGTAGTTAAAACTACTCAATAACATCCCATAAAAGTTAAAAAAGCACTATAATATCCCATAATAGTTAAAAACTACTCTATAACATCCCATAAAAGTTAAAAAAGCACTATAATATCCCATAATAGTTAAAAACTACTCTATAACATCCCATAGTAGTTAAAAAACTACTCTATAACATCCCATAGTAGTTAAAAAACTACTCTATAACATCCCATAATAGTTAAAAACTACTGTATAACATCCCATAATAGTTAAAAACTACTCTATAACATCACATAATAGTTAAAAACTACTTTATAAAATAATAGTTAAAACCTACTCTATGATATCCCACAATAGATAAAAAACCATATAAAACCCCACTAATAGTTAAAGAAAAACACCAGAACATCCCATAATAGTTAAAAACTACTCTATAACATCCCATAAAAGTTAAAAAAGCACTATAATATCCCATAATAGTTAAAAACTACTCTATAACATCCCATAAAAGTTAAAAAAGCACTATAATATCCCATAATAGTTAAAAACT